CAACTGGCCTCCTTGTCATTTGCTTCCTGTATCCACTTACGTGTGAGGAACTAGCACATGCAACCAATGTGCATGATATACTAAGAACCGGTGCACTGGCTGTGGACAGTCAGGCCTCATCTCAGGTGCTACTCAGGGACCCTGACCCTGCTACCCAATTTAAACCCACCCCCACAGCCACTGCCTGTTCCAGTGCCAGCACTCTCTAAAGGGACATCTGCTCTGCTCTCATCATAGCATTTATCACGCTCTAAAATGACCTTGTGCTTTTGTTTGCTTGTGTATCGTCTGTCTTCCACCCCAGACCGGATGCTTATCAGCACAGGGATGGTGTCCACATATGCTTTGTGCTCACAGGAGACCCAGCATGTGTGTCCTTGACTGAATGTAGTGACATTAGAGAGTTGTGGGTAAGCTCCAGAAGTTGGTGACTTTCTGTGAGTTCTTACTCAAGTGATGGCCTTAATCATGAATGACACTTCTGGCCTGAGCACCACCCTCCCCACCACACTTCCATCAAGGTATTTATAGTCTGTTAACTCAGTAGTCTTTATTTCTTTTCTTTCCTTTGTTAAATTGATTTTTAGAGAGAGAGGGAGACAGAGAGAGAAACATTGACATGATGTGAGAATGAAACATTGATCGATTGCCTCCTGCACACCCCCTACCAGGGATTGATCCCACAACCCTGGCATGTGCCCTCACCAGGAATCAAACTGACAACCTTTTGGTGCATGGGGTGATGCTCAACCAACTGAGCCACACTGGCCAAGGCCCAGGGTTTTTTTGTTTGTTTGTTTGTTTTAAATATGTCTTTATTGATTTTAGAGAGAGGGAGAGGGAGAGAGATAGAAACATCAATGATGAGTCATTGATTGGCTGCCTCCTGCACACCCCCGACTGGGGATCGAGCCTGCAACCCGGGTATGTGCCCTGACCAGGAATAGAACCACCATCTCCTGGATCCTAGGTCGATGCTCAATCGCTGAGCCACTTGGCTGGGCCCAGTGGGCTTTAAATGCTTGCTTCTTTACTTACCCCTTTAACATAGTGAACATCTCCATATCCCCACATAAATATTTATGTTGACATCTAAGTTGATGTCTAAATACATCTAAGTATAAAAACTTTTTTTTTTTGTTAAAAAGAAATTAAAATACTAAACATTTATATAAGGTGAAGTGAAACACATAAGTACTTTTTGGAAAACCCTGTGCTAAAACTCTATACTTGTGTTCCCTAGTCCCTGTGCTGTTGGGGAAGAAGAAAAGGGGGGATGGTATGAGAGGCTGGAAGGGGCTCTCTATCCCATGGATTAAAAAAGCAGTCTGCAGAGAAGAAGAAACTGAAGGCCTGGGGAGAACCAGGGCAGGGGCAGGTGTTTATAAGACCATAGAGGTGCTTGAGATGTGCTGTGACTTTAAAAAAGAGAGGGGAGCCCTGGCTGGGTGGCTCAGTTGGTTGGAGCGTCATCCCGGACACCAAAGTGTTGTGGGTTCAATTCCCTGTCAGGGCACACATTTAGGTTGCAGGTTCGATCCCCAGCTGGGGCACGTACGGAGGCAATGGATTGATGTTTCTCTCTCACATTGATGTCTCTTTCTCTCTCCCTCTAAAAAAAAACCCAATAAAAACATATCCTCGGGTGAGAATTAAATATATAAATGTTAAACTGTTAAAAAACTAAAATAAAAAGGAAAGGAGAGGGATGATGGAGACTGAGACTCCAGATTTAGTCAAAAGGTTTTGTGGTTTCCCTGCTCTATTTGAGACCCAGGAGCACCGGGGCCCAGGGACAGCTGCAGCCACTTTTGGCAGCCCCCCTTGCAGCTCCTTTGAATCTTATGCAAAAAGCCAAAGGAATATAGGAAGGATGATTTCTGCTTTGCCAAATAAGGGACTGATGGTTTATTTGGATTTGAGATTAACCTGATTTTTCAGCTTTACAGGTTTACTCTGCCATGTTTTTGTGGGTGTTTTGGTGCCAAAACATCTGCCAGAGGAGGCTTGGAGATTTGTGCATATGATTAGTGGATAGCAGAACTAATCCCCAATTTAATAAATCAGTCAATATCGGTCTCTGCTTCCTTGGCATGAGTCCAACAAAAGTACTCCGTGCAGGTGCACAGCTCAGAGATTGTGNCAGTCAATATCGGTCTCTGCTTCCTTGGCATGAGTCCAACAAAAGTACTCTGTGCAGGTGCACAGCTCAGAGATTGTGTGTGTGTGTGTGTGTGCGTGTGTGTGCGCGCGCGCGCACCCATCTGTTTCAGTGTATGTTTGGATGCTCTTGGGAGCAGTAGCTTGGTGGGGACATCAGATAAGAACAGGGAGAAACCAGTGGCTTTGGGGGAAGGATTAGTAAAGTATTGTTTTGAGGCACAAGTGAAAATAGTTCCCTCACGTGTCACCTGCAGCTGCCACAATGCATACAGTAGGGTGTGTCTTATCTCGCTGTTGTTTTTTGAGCCCGTCACCTTTCTCTGCTTGCTCCTGGGGACTAAAGAAAGCTCATCAGCACTTCCTTGCTCCGTGCTCAGGCAGGGCAGGGAAATTTCTAGGCAGTTGTTTGTTCCTGGCCACTGGGACCTGAGGGATCCTAGCCCAGAGCTTTGGTGGTTCCTGAATGTGTCCTGGCCTCCTGATGGCCTTTTTTCCTCCTTCTCTCTCTGCGTGGAGGCCACTGATGATCTAAAACCATGAAAGGAACAGCTCCTGTGTATTGTGCTTGCTTCCTCCTTGCCCTTAGTATGCAGGTCCAGGGGGCAGATCCTAGAATAGTGTGGTTGGCGTTAGGACATCTGACCTCAGTTTGGTCACCAGACTGAGCGCAGGACTGTGTGTGGGCACATCCAGCTCAAGAGGAGGCGTCTTCCTTCAAGCCTGTGCTTGTCAGTGGCCTGGTGGCTCTCGCTCCTCCCCCATCTGGCACTCAGCTCTTAGAGACAGAGCCCCTGTCTAACTCTGATGGTAGCCTAGATTTAGGGTGCAACCTGAATAGCTTTGCCTTCACCCCTGTGGCCAGTGCCTGGGAAGCAGTGCTGCATGACTGATGAGGAGAGCTAGGCTGACCGTGGCAGCCAGTGAGCTCCGGGCAGCGCTGCTGGCCTGGGAGTGGGCAGATGGCCAGCCTTGCTCCCCGTGGGCAGCTCCTGGCCCACATTTACTCATCCCCAGGATGCTGGAATTGCCTGAGAGTCTCAGGGGCAAGATGCCAGCCGAGGAAATACTGTGTGTTAAATGTCCAGAGCAGGGCTCTTTGGGCTGCTTTCTTAAAACACAGTGAAAAACCTCTCTCCCTGGTATTTTGTCTTATTGAGATTCCAAGGCACACGGCATAGTAGTTAAGCAGCTAAGCCAGGAGGAGATTTTCAAGACAAGATCTTCTGAGTTTACTGGGGCTCTGCCAGGGCTCAGTGACCTGGAGCATCTGGGGCTCTGTTACCTGCCATTTCTTCTTTATTTTTATTTATTGATTTTAGAGAGAGGA